GGAACAACACTAAAGTAAATTGTCTTAATTTTGGAAGAAAAATCACTAGAGTCATGAAAGAAGATGGTAAAAAACAAGCTACAAAACAAAATGACACCAATGTCATTTTTATTTTATTGACGGTGCTTAATCTGCTATGCCTTCGTGTATAATTTGTAATGTTGGTGATACTATAACTCGGTCGATCAGCAAGAGTTCTTGTGGACAAGCATAATGGAGAAAATCATGAAACTATCCGTGTAGACGATGTTAAAATTATTGTAACTAATTATAATGATCGGAGCAAAACTAAAATATAATTAATTTTGTTATTAAATTGACGTCTTTTTTATGATTCTTTTCAAACAAAAACCTTTTTTTTCAGTAATTATATAGTTGTCATTAAGCATAATAGATTTACAATGCTACTTTTTAGCATTTTGAAAAATGTTTTTTTAAACGTAAAGGTTATGGTTAATATGATGTATTCTGACTTTTTTTTTTGTTTCCTTTTTGAACAAGAGATATAGTTTATGAATTTGCTTTCAATCTTTGATGAGAAACGGTACTTTTCCCCCATTTTTATTACTTGAACGGCTCTGAACTTACACAAGTCCATCATAAAGTAATTAGGCACGAAATTTTCTAAGAAACAAATGTACTATTTGTTGCATTTCATCTTGTAAAACTATTTGTATCTGAACCGCTATATATAAAAGCAGACTTATCAATATCTCAACCAAAAATATTATGATCTTTAGGATATCGTCTTTATAATTCTTTTTTGTTTCATATTTTATTAAAGGAACAACTTTCTTTTCTTATAAGGGATTATAATTTACTTATTTTACGAAACTCCATTTTATGAGGGGAAGAACCCTTTAAAATTAAATATGATCGATCATCATTCTAATATCTCATAATATATTCATTCTATAACTTCATTGCTAAGTTAACTATCAAAATGTTTTTTGTAGATAAACACTACATATATAACTAAAAGAGAGTTATTACTCTCTTTATTGCCAAAGAAATAAAATAAAATTGGTTAGTACACATCTATTGGAGTCTATATATTTAGAGAGATAAGAAAATAGAAAGATCAAGAAAAATAATAAATATAATAAATGATATATGATAGAGAAATATGAAAGATATTAAATAAATATTGACATTGTTTAAGTGTTTAAAAATTAAAATTATTTTAAAATCACAAAACACGTTAGTATTTGAAACCACGTTGCTCATTAATCAACACCGATTTCTGCTGCGTATAAAATTTGCAAACTGCAGTTAATTAATATTCTCTACTCGATCCAAGTTCAAGGGATATGTTTAATTAGTAAAGCTAGCGTAACGTTAAAAGATAATAATTAAAAATTAATAAGCTAGTTGATTGAACTAAAATATTTAAAAAATCAACTGTTAAACTAGTTGATAAATAGAAAATAACATAATTAATTGCAAAACTTAGAACATAAAATTTGGTAATGACATATTTTAAATAATTATAAATAATATTATTAAATAAAATATAATAACATATTTTAATTTGATTCTCATTTATAAATATATTATTAAATTAAATGAAATAAAAAATATATTATTATTTCTATAATTTTATAGAATTTAATAATTTTCTTAAATTCGTTTTAAGAGATTGGTGATCTATTACTTTTGAAAGTATAATGAACATATATATGATGTGGTACTTCTTTAAATTTTGTATTTTTTGTTTGTTTTTTTCCTTTTCAATATTTAATAATCTTTATTTCTTTAAAATCAACAAATTTTATTTTTGGTTTTTTTATAAATACAATTTTAAATACATTTCTATGAAAATAAATATTTTTTACATAATTTTGAATTTTTAACAACCAAATATTTTGAGTTTAGATAAAGAAGGATTATGAAAAAATATTTAAAAAATGAAAATAATAATTTATGCTAAAAGCTAAAAAAACTTAAACATTAATTAGAGTGGCATTGTAAATAATGTTAACAAATTATCGATTATAATTATTTTTTAGTAAAATAACTTTTCAGTTAATTAATTAAAAAGTATTACGAACATACTCTAAAATTGCTTGATTTGAAAAAAAATATGAACTATGGATCTTAATTAACTAGACAGAGGATACTCAAGAGGAGTTCATTTTCATAAGTGTTCTAAAAGAACAACCTATTTTGTTGTATAAAATTAAATATTTATAATATGCTAAGGAAACAAGCACGCTTGCCAACATGAACTGAAAAATTAATAACTAGCTGCGGAACCAGAATACTTATCAATAAACCAATTTCCATTTATACAAATGATAAAAGAAATGGCTATTCTTAATAAAGTTTCGAAATCGATTTTTAAGAATATAATAGAAAAATATTTTTAAATAAGTCTATTTAACTCAACTCAAAGTAATCTCTATTGAAATGTGTAATTTCAGGTGAACCCTAGACCATTGTAGATGAATCTTATACAATACTCCGAATGATCATAGCAATCTTGATTCAACCGGGTGTTTATTTAAAATAAACAAAGGTTATTTAATTTGCCTAATTTAAATATACCATAAATCTAATCTCCGATCATGGTATTGTATGTCCAATCTCTTCTATTTTGGATCTATCAAATTTCTTGTATCTCGAATTGTGGTATGCTCTCATATATTGAACTATTATATATATATCACATGTTAAACTCAGTCTAAACTAAGACTCGTCTCTAGTATTATCTCGTGACTAACCAATTAATTGATTTAATTAGGTAGTCTATATTAACGCATTACGGTCTGAGCTGATCTCCATGCTTACATGATATATCATAGGAATGAGAGTTACCTGCTCAAAATATATTCACACTTATAATTCGAAGCGATTAGAAATTTCCAAAATATACAATCTACTTATACTATTATTTTGCCAAAATCTTCTCAAGTATCAAAGTATTTTTTACAAAAATATTTTCATCAGTGAAATCTATTATGAACTTCCATCTCAAAATGGTGCAACCACAGTCCGAAGTACCATAATTAACAAAACAATATGATTTAAGGATCGAAGACCAAAACAAATTAATACAAACTGATTTGTGTGTATGTATTGACACTTTCAAATTCAATGGCCAGCAGACAACAAATATAGCAAGTTATTCGATGCTGTATATCATGGATAGTTATATAATAATTAAACATCTTCATCTTTTTCACTAGCTATACAAGTCAGTTTATTTATTTATTTATTTTAAATGACTATTTCCAACCTAGTACTCGGTACAAAAATATAAATAAATAAATAAGGAATGATTCCAAGTGTGTTATTAAAATATTTATTCGCTAATTCTTACAATTGAGTCAACAAGAGAAGTAGACTCTCTCCGACTATGTTATTAAATTATGTGCGTTCACTAATTATACACAACTCATCAGTTAGTGAAACAAATAGTCTGTTTAGATATAGGTAAAATTAGTAACTAGATAGGCTTCCTAATTTTACTTTTTTTAGTGTGATTTAATATCAATATTTTTTTTATTTTTAATTTAGTCTAATTTTTCAATTGTGATAATTTTTTCAAATTATCATAATTGACAAAGACGATCAAATATTTTATTAATTAATGGTGATTATAACGATACTTTTGGTTTGTATTTATTTAATTGGAATTGTCATACTAACATGACTCGGTCTTGCAATTATTTAAGTAGGGTTTTACTTATTAGAAATTAGACTGGTTAAGAGTTTAAGTGGTTCGAGTTTTGAATATATATTACTTGTGAAAAGGATTTACTTGTTTGTGTTATAGTTGAAAATTAACTTTATTCCAAAAGGATGCAAAAATACTGCAAGGAGATATAAAAAAGGAACTCAGATAAACAACAACTTGATTACTCCTCGTCTTCTCATTAATTGTGTTGAGAAATGTTATTTATACGTTAAACCAAAGAGCAAACTCTCTCTCTCTCTCTCTCTCTCTCTCTCTATATATATATATATATATATATATATATATATATATATATATTCATATAACTGTTTAAAATTTGCACGTCAATTTCGAAATGATTTTTCATCCAGTTTTTGTATCCATGCACAAACAAATATATTCCCATGACTACGTAAACAACTTAATACGATTCTTAAAAGGATTGAAACTATTTGTTTCTATTTGCCATCCCATTTCCTGTTCTTTTAATTAAAAATGATGTATTTTTAAGTTAGGAGACATTTCACAACCAAAATCTTTCAATAAAACAAGTTTACAAGACATATTTTTCACTTACAAATCATCGCTCCACATATCCAATAGCCACACGTACGTCAATCCCCACTAATATTTGCGGTTACAAATATATGCATGTAAACGCAATAAAGGAAAGCATGCGGAAGAAAGACAGATGGAAGAAAGGTTGTTGAGTTTCGTGCACGGATCTATATTTTTCAGAGTAATATCACAACCCTGGAAATAAATCATGTAATCATTTTACAGTTTTTGGTATAAACATTATATTAAATAGACATCTCATGATTTTTAGTATCCACATTAAATAGCTCTTCTGTATAAGGAATAATTTATTAATCATTATTCTTTCTTAGGAAATTAAAGATAAAAAAGATTAAATATATAATATTTAATGTTAATAATATATTAAATATTATATTTTTTACGAAAAAAAATAGTAACAAAAATGCCGTTAGAAATAGGAAGGGAGAAAGGTAGCCACTGCTGGCTTTCACTTTATCAATATAAAATTCAACCACCATGGATCAGTTTTGTCTTGGTCCATGGGATTAATAAAATAAAATATTTTACTTTTATTTATAAAAAAATAGGTGGTGTTCTATTTGGTGGACGATTTAAAAGGAGAGGAAGGCCTTGGGGTTACCCGAGGAGTTGTGCTTGCGTATGAGGTAGGGGACCTTCTCTCCATACGTGATTTATCTTCAACCCCAACCTCCGCTTCAAGTTGAGTTAATTTGTTGTACGGTGTGTGTGATATATAGGCGAAGAGTGTTCACAAATAAAGATGGGAAGAGCACCTTGTTGCGCTAAAGTTGGGTTGCATAGAGGTCCATGGACTCCTCGAGAAGATGCATTGCTCACCAAGTATATTCAAGCTCATGGTGAAGGCCAGTGGAGATCATTACCAAAAAGAGCTGGTAATTATCCACCGGCTTCCTGATTTTTTCCTCTCATAATCTTTTTCTTTTTTAAGTTTTTCCCTTCTAAATCACTCGTACGTATTCTTCTGTTATTGATCACGCTTCCCGAAAATATCTATTAATTACAAAGAGACACTTTTAGGTGTTTTTTATACTAATTTAAAAAACATTTTTCCTTCGTACATAACTTCTTGATATTTCCTTTTTCTTTTTCTCTCCAATTATTACTATTATTATGTCTTTGTGTAAATTCCATCTTTCTTCTTTGTTATATATTACACCGTTATATTTGATATTAATTTTCATCTTTTTATACTTTAATCCCATCTCTTTTCTTCATTATTAATCATTTTTGTTACTATATATAACGTTAAAATTACATTTAATTCAAGTTGTCTCCCACCTTCAATCAATCTGAGTTAAGTCAACTTGAGCTTGTTATTCTCCCAAGTTCATGGTATTAATTATGGTTGATGCTTGATGCAGGGCTTCTTAGATGCGGAAAAAGTTGCAGACTAAGATGGATGAACTATCTGAGACCAGACATAAAGAGAGGAAACATAACCCCCGAAGAAGATGACCTTATTATCAGAATGCATTCACTTCTAGGAAATAGATGGTCCCTCATCGCTGGAAGATTACCAGGACGAACAGATAATGAGATAAAGAACTACTGGAATACCCATCTCTGTAAAAAGCTGAAAAATCAAGGAACAGATCCAAACACGGACAAAAAAAAGGGGAAGAAGAAGAACAAGCCCAAGAGCGAGAGCGAGAAGAACAAAGGCGCAAAAGCAGAGTCAGAAAAGACCTTAATTTATCTACCAAAACCTATAAGAGTTACTGCTTTCCCATCTATACTCACAACGGACAGCACCTTCACCTTGGATTCAAATTCAGGTAGTGCATCAACAAACCAAGAGAAAGAGCAAAGCCCAGAAGCAAAAGAGGTGAACACGGTTTGGAAGGTAGGTAATGACGGAGACAGTGGGAGGTTAGTATTCTTTGATGAAGAGCATGACATAGTCAACAGTTCTGACGTGGAATGCCACTCTGATTATGTTCACACGGATCATGGTACGCTAGAGAAGCTCTATGAAGAGTATTTGCAACTCTTGAAGGCTGAAGAGAACACGCATGAATTAGATTCTTTTGCTCAATCTTTGTTGGCGTAAATGTACAATATTGGTAAAAATTATTGGAACAATTATGGTAGCATGTGAATAGGGATCTCAATCGTTTTAGTATTTTAGAAAATTAAATAAATTTCTGCCATGGAGAAATGTTTGAAGCTTAGTTTCTCACGTGCTGACCTTCTAGTCACCTTGTCATTAGAATTTTGAGATACACACTACGACAACGCATTTTACACCATATTTTTTTTTTCTTAATATAAATTTTGCACTATTTTTTTTTATACGCGTCTACCTGCTCGTAAAAAAAGTTATTGTTGTTAATATTTATGTAATTCGAAATTAACTTGACTAAAGCATTAAGTTTAACTTTAATAATTGAGACATTTGTGGGATTGAAAAAACTAATATAAGGAGAAACAGTCTTAAGCTTATTTGGATTGAAAAAAAAAATATTTTGATTCTTTTTCATAAATAATCACAAAAGTATTATTTTTCTTTTACTCTATTTCTTTTATTTAATGATTTGTATAAGGAGAACAAAAATATACAGCCTTCAATTATATATGAAAAAAATTCAAATCAAACCATTTTCAATTTTTTTATATCAACAATATGATTAATATATTAAATGTTAATACAATACATTATCTTTGAGACTATTAAAGTCTATACTAACTTTTAAAAAGTCTATATTAATAATCTAATTTTTATTAAATAAAGACTATTCAAAGTATATTTGATTTTTATTATTAAAAATAAATGATAATTTATTTTTAATTTAGTTTAAAAATAATATTTTCAATGGAATTTAATATTATTGTGTGATTTATGTGGTGAATCTTACCTAGTGTTACAATAAATGATAAGTTTTACAGTGATAAAAGTCAGAATTATTATAATTAATGGAGAATAAACGGGTGGTCCTTATCGTGGTTAAGTTATTTAATAGCAATTATTATTAAATCTTGACATATTTTGAAGCTCTGACCGTATGGTGATAAATTTCTTAGATTCATTTCCTTCAAAAAGAAGAGTTCCTTTAAAAGAAGAAAGCATATTACTTGATAAGAAAATCAATAAAAAAAATTAATTATTGTAAACTTTTTTTGTACTTTTTATTACATTCAACCGTTTATTTTTAGTCAGGTTACAATTCTTAAATTCAAAAATTTCTGATTATTTACTTTTTAGCTATATAGATAATCAAAGCAACTCCCAGATTATATATATACACAGTGATATTAAATTATTGAGATTTGTTATTACAAACCAAGGTCATAAAATGTCATGGTGTTCTGAGACACAATACCAATCGTGAATTATGGTTATTCGGCCGTTCCAATACAGGTAACAGATTTATATGCGAGGGTAGGCTCAAACAATTTGCGATTATTGAATTTTTAAAATGTTGGTTTAAATTGGGTCTTACATTATGTTTTGTGAGTCTTATACTATAAATTTTTATTATTGAAAAAGATAAAGAAATTTATTATTTTATAAATTAAGTTTATTTGTCCGCAAAACTGAATTTAAGGGCAGCCTAAACAGAGTGTAACCAGCTAATCAATCTTATATTCAATGGAGAGATCCTCATTTGAAATATTGGAATCAGTTATTTTATATTAAAGGGTTTTTTTTTTCCCTCATATCAGTATGCTTGCATGTTTTTAAAGAAATCGGGGGAAAAAAAAGGCAATTAAATGCAAGTTGGGCAACTCCCTCAAAAAAAAAAAAGAAAAAAGAAGACTGCAAAGTTGTGCAGCAATAGAGAGACAACCTACCATTAAAAAAAAATAAGAGTACTGAAATGGGTCAATCGACCCGAACAAATTGACAAAATAAGTGGCATAAAAGTCAATATAATTAAGAAAAATCTTTTGATACCAAAATTGACCAATGGATTGATTCATTGGATCATCAGGTATCCTTGTACCCGCTTACAATCCCATCGTGTCTCATGTAAGAAAATTTTTAGAAATATCGACGCAAGCCTCAATTTTAAATTTGTTAAATATCAGTACCACCAAATATCTTTTCTCTATCATTAATTGTTATTATTAACAAAATATCTATCCTTTTAAATATTAATAACATATTAAAAATATTAATACAAATAAAAAAATAAAACATCATATACTTATAATTTAAGGATATTAAATAATTATTTTTATTTTTTTAAAGATTAAAATGCCTCTTGCTATTTTAGAAACATGGAACATTAGTTTTCTACTTAATATGTACTCAATATTAATACCACCTTAATTAATAAAAAATTAATTTTTTTAAAATTACAAATACTTTTTGTTGAAAGTAAATATCTTCTATTTGAGTAGGACTTCAGTAAATAACAAAATTCTCACTTCAAATATTTAATATAATTACATTGAACCATAAATTAAATTAAAATAACTTCTTGTTGATTTATTCACGTTTAATAATGATAAAAAGATGAAATTAAAATTAAATAATTAGATAAATGATTAAAATTAAACAAGACACATGTTTGTTTCAAGATTAAATTTTAATTAACTTATTTTATTCAATAATTTCTGATAAATAATAAATTTTATTATAGACAAATAATTAGAATATCAAAATATTAATGTTGATTTTACTGTGATTTTATTAACATCAATTTTAAAATTTATTTTTAAATATTTAAAACTAATAAATTTTATTAAAATAAATGTTTACTATATTTTTATATTTTTTATAAACAAATATTCAATTATTAAAATACTTAATGTTAACTTTTAAAGCAATAAAATGTTATTCTTCAAATTGACATCCTGAAAACAAACAACAACAAATGAAATAACAGATAAATGAATACGAAAAGTTGAGAGCACGATGCTATAAAATATAGGCAAGCTCCAACAAACGTGTAATTAAAATAAGTTCGTGTGAGAATCTTTTGCTCTCTCTCATGCGGCCATGTATTAGAAAATTCGAAATTATGTTATATAAGTCAACCAATTCTTGCGTGAGGTTAAATTTTAAATACAAAATTAATTAAAAAAACTAAAATAATATTCAAATTATTTAGGCACAATTTTTATTACGAAATAGAAGGATATTCCCACGCTCCCGCACGGATTGCTGCCAAATAAACGACAGAGAAAATAGGAATAGGAGATCGACTCTCATAAAAACCATTTGTTATTAAGAAAGTCTTCTTTTTTTAATACGAAATTGATTTCAACATTTATGCAAAAATTACTTATGGAGAAAATCTTGTTCAAATAAGATTGCGTGCCACAAAAATTTTTGTCTAAATATTATCTAACATTCATATTGAATATATTAATAATTAGAAAGTTTTTCATTTCCAGTACAGATATTATAATTTTTTAAAGTTAGAATATATCGTATAACTATTTTAAATTTAATATTTTTTATTTTAAAAAAAATATTCTATTATATTAAATAAGCCTAAATTAGAAAGGTGCGAATTTTATATTTTAAAATAAATTTTAAAAATAAATTTAGAATACGATTGAAATTAAAAATAATAATTAGCACTCTGTATAAGAAAAAATAATAATAATAAAAAATCATGTTTCTGAATCCACTCCGACCCGAAGCCCTTCAAATAGTAGAAAAAGGAATCTTTTATTATTCATACGGTTATTTTTAAATATGACAAAATTTGCCTTGGTTCAAGTACCATGTGACTTCGATTCTAAGTAGTTTCCTTTGGTATATTAGCAATTAAAATTCATTATATTAACAAATTTACAGATATGATCGCATCTAGTTCAAGAGGTGCATGTGTCCATGTGGTAAGTTGCAGTAGTTGTTATATTTGTAAAATGTCATATTTATAACTCTTCACTTCCGTTTCCTCCATATATGTTCAAGTAAAAATTTATAAATTGTACAAGTTATGCATTTTATTTTCTGAAATTTTAAACTTTTTTAGTCATTAACTTTATAAAACTGTTTTTAGCACAAAATACAGTAAAACAAAAGTAAAATAAAAGACTTAAAAAAATTAGAAACTAATAAACAAATTAATCTTTTCAGAACTATAGTGTATGATTCGTGCCATTTTAAATACTAATTCAAGAGAGTTGTTTTTTTATCCTACATCCTCTCCAGCTCTGATGTATTCTCAACTTAAGTTTATTATTTTCTTTGGCTTATTAATTAATCAATCAATTTATTGTTAATGAACTTTGTCACTTGGGATGGGAGGTCGTCAAGTTGGTAACCAGAATAGATAAATGTCAACTTCGTCAATATATATATATATACTTACTGTATTAATTGACTTTTTTTATTCCTTTTCTCTTGTTGACTTCACAACTTGTCTAGGAAATTAGGTGATACCTGTTGGAGGTAATTTTAAGTTGTTAATAATTGAGTGAAGTAATTTAATTATGTTAAAATATGTTTCTAGTTAAAAAAAATATTACAATTAAGTGTAAGATGAATTAATTAAATTTAGCAAAATTATACATTTATCTGTTTAACATAATTATATAATTTTAAATAATAATATGAGAAAACTTAAATCGTTATTTCTATTATGAATACATTAAGGTATTCTTTATCCAACAACCATTACCAAATAGAAAAAAAAAAAAAAAAAGGTTATATTAATTGAAGTGTTTTAATTCTTAGTATAATTTAGTAAAATATATTATTAGAAGAGACCCCTTGGGGTCTTCGTGTTAGACGATGGTGTCACGCTCTCTTTAATTAACTCGTCTTATTATAAGAGAACGAAATTTCCATTTAAAAAGTTACCCGCCATGATAGGTTGTTGACCAATTTTAATTCCAAAGCAACTCCTTTTCATTAGGATAATTAGTTGCATTATTATTATTATTATTATTATTTCAAAAGATCATTTTACCGTAACACTCCCCGCTGTGAATTCTCATTATGTCCTTCCAAAAACTTATAATGAGAGATATTTGCAACAAAATTTCATAATATTTGTAAATAAAATTTCTTTTATTTTATTTTCTTCGCACCTCTCAATTTATTTAACACTTTTCTTTCTTAAACTATAAGAATTACTGTAAATAGATTATGCAATTTTTAGCAATATCTATCAACGCTAATAAACCTTAAATTGTGGGCCGGTTCATACTTGATACTACTCTTTCTGATCTTAATCACAAAAAAAGTGTGAAGAATATATATATATATATATATATATATATATATATAAAGTTATTTTATTTATATATGTTATTAATTTTTTAATTTTATTTTATTATAAGATTTATTTTAAAGAGATAGTTACACATTCTTCATATTAAAAAAATATTTAACTATTTAATATTATAAATATTTTTAAAAATAAATATAAATTAATTTTTAATGTTTATATGATGGCAGATAATAAAAAAAGTATATGTAACATTATTTATAAAATTTGCAATGATTTTATCATTTTTAAACATTAATATTAGTGCTCAATTAACAATTGTCCAGAGGGAAAAAAAAATTAAAACACGTTGTAATAATGCATGTATTTTTATTTTTATTTTTTAACTATCAAAAAACATATTTATATTGCCTATTTAGCTGTTTTAATCACAAAAAATTACAATTCTTTTACAGGATATTAATTTAATTAAGACTATTTTTCTTAATCAAAATAACACAAGTTGTCATTATCATTTTTTAAATTTAAGGTATTTACTCAAATGTCAGCCCATCCTAATCACTTGAACTCTGCCATGCTACATCCAAACGCCACGTTCAAATTAATCTATTTCTCATATGCTGATATAACATTTATAACACGCAAAAGATAATTCTTTTTTATTAACGATGATTACTTAACCGAAAGCCGTTTTGTCTTGCTCTGGCTTCTTCAATCCATTTTCGGAACCGGCACCTGCGGGTTTCACAAGGGAGATTTGCATAAATAAAATTGGAATCAAATTACAGTGTTCACTTAATTGAGTAAATAAAAGATGAAAAATTTTAACTTGACTGAAGTTAAGTAATTAAAAATAAAAAAATTATTGAAAGAAAATATTTATTGTATTACAAATATAAAAATATACTTATTTTATTTTTAAAATAAAATTTATTATTATTAATTATTGTATCGATGAAAATTAACAATAAGAGACATGCAGAATATTACTTTTCAAACATATGTCATTTTTTAAATTTGAGAAACGAGAAAAGTGACAAAAGAAAAATGAACAAGTTAGTTTAATCCTAGTTAAATTCAAGTTAGAAAATCATTTTTTTGTTGTTGTGGCATCCCACAGTAATTATTAAGCGTGTATTTAGATTTTTTAAATAACTGGTTTTTCATATGTTATAAAATTAATCGTTTTTGAAATATGCACTGACAATGATTATTTAAAAACTCGTTATAAAAAACTATAAAGGAACTATATGGTTAAAATTTGCGTGTAGAGAGTAAAGTAAAAATATGGGAAACACAAATAAAAACGAAACTAGGACGTTAGCAAATAAATAATATACATTAATTCATCTTGTTTTGATCGAAATAGCTATGAGAAATATAGAGTAAACAAGAATGGAGCAGAATTAGAAAGTTTCGCTTATTTTCAAAAATGTAGAGAGAAAATTTATTTGATACAGTTTTATTAGAGAGTTCTTTCTTTCTTTCTTTTTTTTACTATTTTTCTTCCAAGTTTCTCTTATCATCCAACTGAGTGTCAGTCAACTCTTTCTTTTATAGTTTGTACTTTTGTTTCCGTCGTACCTACTACT